GTCGCAGGGGAGGTGGACAGAAGTCAACGGATGGATTCTAAAGACATTTAAAAGTAGCATTGAGTGAAGAATTAGATACAGGGCAAGAGATGGGGAAGTGTTAAAGACCACAGTCCCACTTCTGTCATAAACACCTAGGTATCAGTTCATGCAATTAAGAAGAAGCTGACCACAGGAAGGAAAGCTGCTTTTGAGGTCTCAATACACACTCGAGACATCAGTTGCGCACCTTGCACCCCAATATGTCCAATAATGGAAAACACGTGTTATCAGCGAGAAACACCAGCAATCTGTATAGATATACAAAATATAAACACAGATGGGTATTTTTTTACGCTTTTGATCAACTATTTAACTTAATTATGACTTTCTTCCATCTGTGACCATTCAGAATATATTAGATAGTGTCAGCTGCCTAGAAAGCGTAAAGCATATGATGCCTTTCTGGAAAATGTTGTAGGAAGGAAGAAGGAAGGAAAGCAAGGGGGGAAACATGCAAAGAGAAAGAAGAGAAAAATACGGAAAGAAGGAAGGGAGGAAGGAAGGAAAGGAGGAAGAGAGGGAGAGAGGAAGAGAGGGAGGCAGGAGACCTATTCATCCCCCCCCATTAATTGTCACTGTCATATTCAACCCACTACTGAGTTCATTCACCTGTTTTTAATGAAAACAGATGTATATACTGGATCCTGCCTATATGATAAAAAAAATCTATTTTATTTTTAATTCGGTGTTTCATCTTTTTAAAAAGAATAAGTTGCATTGGCTTTGGTGTGCTTGCAAATTTAGATTAAGGTTAGTCTGGTTTGTTCTATAAGCAAAACACCTTATTATTTATTTATTTATTTTTACAAACCATAAGGTGAGATGAAAGCAATACATTTCCATTAACTAGGCATTTTCCACTAGAGGTGACTCATTTCTTGTTCCCAAGAGAATGTCCAAGAATAATTGAGAAAGAAAATTCTCTAGTGTTGCCCTGTATGAACTAGAATAATCACACCCCTAGTGCAAATACAATAGGAAATCTCTTCCTTGTCTCTCGGTCCCACGGTGTGGATTTTGCCGTGTGACACATACCACGCTCTGCGTGGCGTTATGGCTGAAACGCTGTCGTGTGTTACAAGGTTCCGTTTTTTATCTCCCCTCCATAACCATTGCTCTTTTTAATCCTTTTTCTTTCCCTCTGTTGCCTCACGTCGCCTTCCCGGAGTATTACGCATGCTGAATGCTATTATTACTTTTGGTTATTAACTAGGGATGGATGGATTTGGGAAAAGTAATTTTGTGCCGGCTGATGGAGCCAAGGAAGCCGTCAAACATCCTAGCAGGTCACAGCGTCCTGTCCTTTTGTGGAGCCACAGTGCAGCGTGTGCTGGAGCTGGAAGGTTACAGGTAATCAGACAGGCTTACGGATGGCAGCTTTATTAAATATCCGTGGAGGTCTACTGTGGCTGAGACCAGATAATAGGAGCTTCCAATATGAAAACAGGAAATTATTAATAAACTGGATTGGCTGTTCTGAATGCCCTTGCAAAAGTTTATCTAATTTTATTTTCCAGGGAGATGAATGTCAAGTATTAGATTTATTATTACTTAAGGTGTAGGCCTTTTATTCTTGGAAGTGATTCTCTTTTAATTTGTTCTATTTCCCTGGATGTTTGATGATATTAACATTGTTTAAGCCAGAGTGTTTCCATTCTCATTTTCTAGTAAGTAAATTCTGTCAGTTCGGAAGAGAGCAGGTTTTATGTGATCTCGCTGATAGTATATGATAAAATGTGGTTTACCAGGAGACTTAGATCAATATATAAGTTGGTGTGATGCTTTTCTACATTCGAATAAATCATTTTTATAAGCTTGCCTCAATGCAATTCTTTAGACCATTTTTTTTGGTGGAATTTTCGAAAAGCAAAAAAATATATTTTGCTCATCTTTTAAAAGCATTCTTGCATGTACTGAGGCAACTGTTGACTTATTTTTGTTTAATTGCAGCACAAAATAATAAGGTGTGGCACTTTGAGGACGTCGACCACAGTTTTTGATGTACCTTTATCTATTCAGAGATGAGAAATGCAGCACGTCCTGTTTAACACTGTGGAGTTTGACAGGCATTGAAATGAAAAAGGAAGTGTAAATTTTACTAATCAAAACATCTGTACTGTGCAGCCATTTACATTTTCCGATCGAGACATGAGAGAAATGTTAATTTTAGACGACTCTTTTTATGACCTATAATTACTGTCATTAGGGAGCCTCTGGAGACTTACAGGGAGGTTTGACTGAAATACAGTTTGACATGTTCTATAATTAATGCTGAATTAACGTGCTACATGAAGTGCCTTCGAAAAAAAAAAAGGGTTTCTTTTTCTCAAAGAGAAGTCAAAGAAATTGTATTACAGGAATGCCCTCCAGAGCCACGGTATTTCAACTTACATTATTGAGCTTATGAAAAGCTGACTTCTGAGGCACTTTACAATGATTGTTCAAAGTTTCTTTAGTTTCAGCTTGAGGAGGACATGGAGACATAGGCCTAGGTATTTGTTTCCAAGTTCTTTCTTTCACATTCTAGACGAAAAGTAAATTGATGCTTAAAAGTAGTCGGTTGCTTTTGACATTCTAAGAACGTTCTGAGAACACTGAAAACACGGATGGAAAATTTGGTTAAAAACTGCACAATGAATACTCCTAGTGTAGTCTTTTTCATGCTTTCTTTTAAAGTAGATTACTGTAATCCTCCCTCGGAATATAAGATCCATGAGGGCAGGCGATACAGTTTGCAAATGCCATGCAACTAGAATATGCACGCTGCATCCTGGGTATGCAATAAATATCTGATGCATGAATTAATAAAGTAATCTATTAATAATATTAATAATATTTCAATGTTTCCCATGATCTCCTCTGTACTATTTTAGTATTCAAAATCTTTTTTGAATTCCCTGGCAAGCAGTGTGACATAACATCTTTGAGTGTTTTTTCCAGCGTGGGTCAGTTACTTTATCGAGTCCTTTCCTTAAATTATCGTGCTCAATTCTTACAACAACTCTCAGAAGTATTAATTACCTCTGTTTTACTGATTTGAAAATGCAGGCTCCAAGAAATTTTATCATTCATTGCCTCAGCATTCTAAGTCCAAAGAATATGCTCTTTGTACTGAAATACGTGACCTGAGAGGTACAATACAGTGCATTGAATACTACTCCATAATATCTTCAGGGAATAACTTACATGACTTTATCATCTGAACTTAAGACCTTTAGTGTCCATCTTAGATTACAAATAATAATTCCCAGTGGTCTTCATCCATTAATGGTCTAGCTAAGTTGATACTTACCTAGAATGTATTTTAGAAGCATATTTCAGAAGTTTTAAAAGTTCGGCATCTTTTTAGCAATAAACTATACGGAGGGCTTTGTGTGTGCGCATGATATGAAAAAAAAAACAACAATATTTTTTTAGAATAATCTGTTAAACAAAACAGCTCGAATTAAAGAGGAAGATCTCATTTTTGTCTAAGAGCACATTTTATATTAGTTCTAACTTTATATTAGTCATATTCAAAAAAGATGAAAACTTATTAAAAAGCCTTTGAAGGTATTTCCAGAGTATCTTAAGCAGCTTCAGTTCTAATATTTATAAATAAAAATATTCATGAAATTCTTTGCAATCAAAGAAAATACTAAACATTACCTCCCTTATATTTAATTATACTGCTACTAAAATTTTTATTCAATGTTTATTATTAATTAGAAAACAGGTGTTCTGAAGAAGATTTGTAAGTACTGTCTTCTACCATATTCTACCTCTAACTTTAAGGCCCAGAATCAGCCTTAGGGAGGTTAATAAAGAAAATGCTAAAGAACTTCTAGGTCAACTTCCTAATATTTAATTTATTATTTATGGTTTGGAAATCTTGGCATCTCAGATAATTTGGTTGTTTGGAATTTTGCACACTATCTAAAAACCTGAACGGATTTTTCTCTTATAATAGGAGCAAGGCTGGACATTGGACTAATCTGCTGAACATCACTGTGAATAAAAGCAAAACAAAGCAAAAAGAAAGAAAAACAAAACCCAAGCTGTAAGACACACAAATAACCAATAGCTCAGTAAAAGCAAAAGAGACTGGAGTATTTTAAGCTGAAAACCTAAGATAAACTGATATAGGAATTTCTCCTTTTAATTTTGTGATATTCCTGTTATTGTTCCTGTGTGAACAAATTTTTGTTTTTGTTAACCTTGGTTTAGGAAAAAAAACAACAACACCATAATAAATATGTGTAATTATATTAGACAGAGAACTATTATTCTCACTCAGGAAAGCAGGCCACCGCACGAGTTTCTAAAATAGCTGAATTTAGGTTGGGTAAATGTATGAAAATCCAATGAAATAATTTTCAAGTATGCGAAATTAGCAAAGAAAACAAAGATTTAAAAAGTACAGGCAATCAAAATTAAGGATCATTTCACAATCTTTTAGATTTACATTTTGCTTATCACTGTCTATCAAAGTGCTTTAACCCTTGAATAAAGGTTTCTGCAAAAGTTTACACTATGATGATGATGATGATGATGATGATGATGATTATTGCTATTGTAATCCTATGTTGTTTGGAGCTAAATAGTATCCAGTTTTGAAATATTAATAGGGATTTCCCAGCTATATTTGGAATGCCTTAATTTCTTTTCCCCATCCCCTGTGGGGAGTTGAGCTCAACACTTTTCCTTTTGACCCACGAGAGGGGAGGAAAACGTTATTCCAGTCAGAACCACCACAATGAACTGAAGTGAAATACAGTCTACACTTTGTTTTTGTAGGCAGTTTTTGCTGTGACTTGGCAATTCTCTCCCCACTATCATCCTTCCTTCTATCCCTGATCTGGACCATAGTCCTAGAGTTGCAAAACTCATAACTGTCCCCTTCGCAAATCCTGCATTTCGTATCTTTCATATTTTTGTTTTTGCCACAGAATCTTCTATTTTATCATCTGTTCCAACTTCATAGCAAGAGGCATAAAAGAGGAGGAAAATGAAGCTGGCAACTATTTTGAAGTCACACCGACAAAATTTGGCCATGTTCCTAAACAGTGGAGCTACTTCATCAAAGGAAATCTTACTGATATGGCCACAATAGAAAAGACAAAGAATCACAACTCATTGAGGTAGAGTGTGCAAGTTTGAAAGGCAGATCCTCTCCATTCCCTCTCCACTTCCCAGCCCTTGAAACCACTGCCCTCCACAGAAACCACTGCATATGATGAGTCCAAATTGAAAACCCTTCCCTGAAGACCGCACGTTGATCAACCAGAGAGACGGAAAAGTCAGATCTGTATTGGGGAGATAATGAAGACTACGGAAATTAGGGAATGAGAAAGCGGTTGCAGAAAAGGCAGACGGGGAAGAAAACTCTTGTGTTGGCATGTTAGGCTTGGAGAACTTGCCAGATAGGCTGGGCAGAGATGCCGTATTGGCATCTGAGGTCATGAGCTCTCTGACTGGCTTCCCATCATGAAAAAAGTCACGTACATAACTCCACACTTTTTTAGTACTTCTCCAATGAAGAATTCTGTCCTTGGGGGCATCTAATCACCAAATATTGACCTCATTCGCACAATAGTGCAATCGTTGGAAAATATAATGGCTAACCAGGATTCCTGAAATTGAACGTGGGGGTGGCACGGCTTGTGGAAGGGTATTGTGGAAGGGTACTGAACGGTTCATGATCTTGATTTCGATGAAAAGACATGACTTTCTAAAAGTCACAAATGCCTTTCTATCAAACAGGTGTTGAATCCCCTTCCCTGGGATGCTCAGTCTTCACAAGGATGCACGCCCATGAGGAACACATGCGGTTAAAGCCCTGAGGCATTTGGTACATGGTTGGCTCCCAGCTGGCAGTTTTGCAGTCTTCAGTATCTGTGAGTCTATGACCCTTCATAGTCCTGTTTGGGTCTAAGCTGAAATGTCCATATACCAGGAAAACCACTACTATTTGACTGCTACGTTTCCCATGTGCCTACACTTGAACTTTTTTCCCACTGTTTCAGCTCACCCATATCTCACCCTTCACCAAACAAGTAAATAAACCTACAAACATACCACCGAAAACATGATTTTTCTAGTGCTATATTTATTTGTCATCAGGTGACATTATATATAGTTCACCCAATGACAACAGCTAGAAACATGAGACTTCTCTCTGAGTACTCCTGCCCTCGAACCATCTAACCTATTATGTTTCCTGATGATTTTACAGTTCCCATCTACTCTAACACTTGTCAGTGACTTCATCTTTCAGATAGAATTGAAGATCTTAAGCTAAGGCAAACACAACCCTTCTTGATCTTGACCTTGAACTGGTACATCATCAACTCTTGCCATTTTTCTTATTACATTTTATTTTCTCACAATAATGAACAACTTCTCATTCCCCAGACATATACTAGGAACACACCTATCTATCTGTGTCTCAGATGCCTTGGTTCATTTCTGGTCTGGAAAATATTCATCCTACTTTTGAAACTTGATCCAGTTTTTAAAGTTTTTTCTCTCTAATGACTCCTTTATTCTACTTCAATATCTAATAAATCATTAAATGGTTACAAATAGGTAGTAGGATCTGTTTACCTCCAAATATTATTACCTCTAAAGCAGCATTTTGGAAATATATAGAAATATAATGTGATCCACATGTGTGATTTTAAATTTTCTAGGACTGAAGAGAAAGGGGGAGGGGGAGATAAAAACAGGTGAACCTAATTTGAATAACACATTTAACTCATATCAAATGCTTATTTTTTAGAAATTACAAACAAGATGCTTAGAATTGTTTATACTTTGTCTCTAAAATCTGGTGCGTGTTTTGCACTTTCAGCCCATCTCAATCTGGACTAGCTGAATGTAAGTGCCCAACGGCCACATGGGTCCAGTGGCTTCCATATCTACAGAGCAGCAAGAACATCTGGGTTCAACGGTCAACGGCTGGGAGCTGAGATGGATGCTAACATTTTTAAATTGTTGAAAAAAAAATACGACAACAAGAATAACATTTATTGACACCTGAAAATGATATGAAATTCAAATTTCCGGGTCCTTAATAAAGACTTATTGGAGCATAGCCATGCTCATTCATTTATAGATTTTCTGTGGCAAATTTCATGCTAAAAATGACAGAGTCAATTCATTCTGAGAGACTGTATGATCCCCAAAGTTTAAATTTTTACCATCTGGCCCTTTGGAGAAAAAGTGCACCGACCTCTGCTTTCGAGTGTTCGCTGTGCTAGGATCATGATCACACATTAGGCACCTCTGCATTCCACACACGGCTGACACACATAAGGGACTCAAGTTTCAGAATAGTATATATATTATAAATTCAATTAAAGATGCATGTATTGAACAACTACAGTCCTAAAATACACCCTCTCTACCTAAAAATCATACCTTAGAATTTTTCCAGTCCAGAACATTATGTTACCAGAATAGAAAAGTGATAAAATATAGTCGAAAACAGAGTTCTCAATTCAGATAGGCCTGGGTCCGCGTTTCAGCTTTGCCCTATCTGTGGTCTTGAGTAATTTACCTTCTCCTCTGTAACCCTGTTTCCATATCTGCAAAATGGGGCAAAATAATGCTAACTCACAGGGTCATTGCAATGATTAAATGAAATGATGCATATAATAATAGTATAGTGACTGAAACTTGGTAAGTTTTCAGTAAATGTTAGCTATGTGTGGTACATCTATCTAAAGTTTCTGCACCTAATGTATTCCTTTCAATAGCTTTTTGCCACTGCTTTTGCAGAAAGTGATATTTTAATTAATATGGTTTGTAAAACTACATGTATTTATTCATTTTGGCAAACCTGGGCACAACTATATAGGCTAGTTAAAAATAGTTTGGACACTAAAACACATTACTATAACATTATAATTAGATGAGTCTTTTAAATGTGTGTGTGTGTGTGTGTGTGTGTATTCTATATAAATGGAAATGAAAAATATCTTCAAAGGAAAGAAAAGGGTATTTATGTATAAGGAACATGAAAGAAATATTACTTAGAATGCTTTAACAGTTTTAGAATCAGAAACACACATGTTTTAGTAATATACTATATAGCTTTGCCCTAGACTCATATAATATTATATATATATTTTTATATATAATATTATTTATATATGTTAAATTAATAAGTGGTAGTTAAAAGTTACAAAACATTATATTTAATATTATAAAATTATTCAAATCTCACAGTTCTATTTGTTTCCTATTGAAATGTTAACATAGCTGAAAATAATTCTTTGGACAGTTATGTGCAATTTAGGTTTTATGAGTCCTCAGAGGGTAAAGGAGGAAGACTGCTGGGATTGTCTGGACATGGGGATCACTTGCTATGGAAAACTGGACAAATGCTTGCGCTGCGTCCAGGGACGAGGATGTAAATGAGTAGCTGGTTCCCTTCTGCTGAGACGCCACGGTCTCCATATTCCTTCAAAGCCTTCGAGGGACCATGAATCGCCGAGGCAGAACCCTTTCTCCTCTGCGTGGCTCATCTGCAGCCTTTGAAACCCACGGGAGCCGCGTGCTTGGAAGCAGCACAAAAGGTAAGGCGGGAAATAAAAATATGGCCTAGGATTTGTGACGCTCAGGTGATCCAGGCTCATTTGTCCAATCGCTGCAGAACTGAAATATGCGGACTGGCCACTGATGGATTCCAGCTCACGGCGTTCTAATTTGTTTTACAGGAGTAATCCTGCTCGGCTCTCCCATTACGTTTTCAATAGCCTGTGCTTTGGTTCTGTTTGAAATAATTCATCATCAAGTTCATAATACCTGATCTTATCAAATTATGCAGATACAGGAAGTGTACAGGCTGCCTTACGGACACAATCAAAAGGGTGAAAAACCCTGAGGATGCGTAATGCTCACGTGTGATGTGAAAGGCCCTTCCAAACTGCCACACCTTTCTCTTCCTTCATTTAAGCAGTTTCTGAAATGGTATAGATTTCTTTCCTGAGTTATTCAAAATGGGAATAGTCCCTTGGCTTCCTTCTTCAGCATACAGCAAAATGCAGTGAGTTATTCTTTCTATGTGTAAGGCTGATAGTTTAAACATCATGTTCTTCACATCTTTTCATTTCACGGATGCACTGCACATTTTAGTACTTGTGTACCTGAGAGAGAACTCGTTCTGGGCTTACTTTCTTTTGTTTTATATGTGTATATGTTAATTCTGTTTTGTATTGATAGGCCCCTGCTCATCAGCTATAAGGCTTGTGATTTTACCATTTAACCAAAAAAAGTGGGGAGGGCAACTAAAATGTGTTACATTGTTACATGCACTGGAAACATATCTAAGCAATCCGGAAAATAATTTACACTTGGTGACATTTTACAAAGGAATGGCTCAGATTATTACTGATTAATATGCTGATTTTACTATCTTTACTCTTAGTTTGTAACACTGTTGCCCACTTTGATAGCTTTATTTTATGCATCAAAATTAGATCTAATAGTTTGCAACATTTATTATCACGAAACACGCACAAACAATAATGAAATAATTATATTGCCCTTTTCTCCCACAAAGAAAAATTCAGATGGATTTAAATGAGAAAAGCCAACCATTTAACGAGGACAGAAAGAAGATAAAGGGTCTAAAATTTGACTTTCATCTATGTTACTGATAAACGCATAATGAGTGTTATACTTTTGTAAATAATTTCAGTTTTTGAAAAATATTCTAATTTATTGTAAAATGGTCATCTCATATTTTATGTAAGTGTACGATTATTAACCAGTTTTGATTCACAATAACACAACCATTTGGCTTCGCCAGACTCTAGCTACACACCGAGTAGTCTCTTATTTTAAGTCAAACTCCTATCACTAATCATGGAGGAACAAAGATATGTCCAAATTTTGAAGGAACATGGGCGTCCCAAAGCTCAGATAATGAATTTTAGCTCTCTCTGGAGAGAAGACTTTCCTGTATGTAGCCTGGCAATAGTCCAAGATTTCTTTTTAAAAGTAACTCCATATGTGTACTGAAAATAAGCTAGTGATGTTTTAAATCAACTGGAAAGAGAGGCTGTTCTTTTCAATATTTTTTTCCTGAGCATAACTTTGAAGTGCAGCATTTGGGGATTAGGAAGGTTTGGGTTACCTGCTGAATGAAGGCATGGAAAATTATTTGAAAGTACCCTGTTTTTTGAAACTGTACTTTAAACTTATGAAATATCACCTGTGGTTAAGAGGAGATATGCAATTCAAAGCATTTTTTTCAACCTAAAGACAAAGAGTTAATTTTAAATTGTGATTATATTTTCCAAGTGTTCTATGGCTGCAAGATCATAATCAAAAGTTTTTGGTTCACTTATTTTAAAGGCTGGAGACGATGGGGAAGAGTAAATGCTATTAAATTAAAGAAAATATGGGTAAATTTATAATGAGTTACGTACTGTGAGCAAAAGCGAGCCAAAGACCATAGCTTACTATGCTCTAATGATGGTTTTGGAGTAGGTATTTTAAGCGATTTCATTTTCAAATAAATTTAACTTGCATCTATTTCTCAGTAATGTGTTCTGAATTTTCTGGATGCATTTAAAGGCTTGAGACTATATGCGTTTCATTGTGAATATTTTTATCTAAGAAAAAGTTGCTGTATTGTCAAATTTGCATCATGTACACATAAAGAAAAAGGTATTTGAATAAACATTATTCTTTTCACAAAGCAAAGGAACTACAATAACATGTCTTATTTACATGAGAACGACGTCCTTTGCCTAATGTATCAAACAATCACTTGATATAGTTGGATAGTGTCTAATAGCATTTTGAAAAGATATGAATGGTTATATAGTTAAATATTTACTTTAGTATGCAAAGCATTTCACTGTGTTCAAACAGGAAGATGGCTGCACCTTCTTTTAGCAACAATGTAAAATGAGAAAAAAGTGACAAAAATCTGAGGCTTATTAAAGTCAATGGCAATTGTGTTAAAAATCATGCTTCAGAGATACTGTAAAGAAATTACTTCAGAAACTCATTTCCAAAGTAAGTTAACCCTTATAAATAGATACATTCTTTTAAATTTATATATTATAAATGTATATGCTACACGGTTTATAGCTTATGGCAAAACAGTAATGTTCACTAGAATATATTATATATTTCATCAAATTGAGAAATATTTACTGAGCGTGCCTGTTGTGGACTGAGGGGGTCAGTGAAATATAATGCGTATTAGCTGTTGATAACTGTTGAAGAGAAGAAAGAAGCTCGGGGAAGAAGAATACAATATGTTGGTGTGTTGTGTGAGAAGGTTATTGAAATTTCAGATACAGAGGCTAAAAATCATCTCTGAAGTGGCTTTTGAGGAAAGGCTGAAGTGGCACATGGGAGTGGATATTGTAGAAAGCTGAGGGAGAGTGTCCTGGCCCTTGGTACCCCATGGGGATGATGTTGTGTCCTTAGAACAGTGAAGAAGGCAAGGTGCCTGTGGCTGCATGAACCAAGGTGGGAAGCTGTAGCAGGAGGGGTCTGAGAGGTAACAGGGAAACCCAGGTAAGACGGCGAGCACCGTGCCCAGATTTCAGCTTTAATTAGTTAGTCGGAGGACTTTGAGCGGATGCAGGACATGATGGATATTAGGTTTTAGCAGACCACCGCTATTTTGAGAATGGACTGATAAGCAGGCAAGGATGGAGGTAGCAAGGTACCTTAGGGGTCCATTGTGACAGTCGGGGAAGAGGTGGTGGTTTCTTCAACAGTGGATTGTGACAATGGTGATGGTGGAGATACTATTATAAAAAGTGGTGGAATATTAAACCTGCGGTATTTTGAAACTAGAGCCAACCAGGCTTGGTGATCAATTTTATGTGGAACGTTAGAGAAAAACAAGAGTTAATCATGATAGGAGATAAGGCTGGAAGGTGGGGGTTCTCATTGATTGTGGAGAAGCTGCTCGAGGAGTAGGTTTGGGGACAAAAAATCTGAAACTCTGACTTGAGCGAGTTAAGTTTGGGATGGCTATTAGACATTCCAGTTGAGCAGTCTGATAGTCAATTGTTTACATAAGTCTGAAATGAATGTGGA